CGGCACAAGATCCGCAACCCGATCCGCAACCGATCCGAACCTGCATATATATGAGCAGTGAAAACGTGAAATTATTAACACACGCAGTTGCATATTTGTCTCAAAAAGCGTGGGATGTTGGTTATTTTCTCCATCTAGGATGACACCAAAAGCCTCCCAGATGTTGGATTTCGCTCTTGAGGAAGTGTTATTGAAAATGCTGTATTCTTCGCTAGAGAGCTTCACCTCAGCCATTTCGAATGTGGCGCGCACAGCAGCAGATTGATGCGCTGCAGAGGTTATGATTATGCGCGGTCCCACGGGGGAGAGGTTTGAGGATTTTAAACATTAAACTAAATTATTATTATTTTAATATATTTATTATGCAATACCCGCGACCCGACCCGCATCATCTTTGTTTTACCCAGAACCGAACCCGGAAAAAAGCGTTTGAAAAAATACCACCCGCGAATCACCTTTTTTGCGGGTCACCCGTCGGGTACCCGATGCAGAACTCTGCCTTAGACCCTCACATCGTACGAGGAAAAACTTCCGGAGAAAACCCACAGTTTTACAGTTTACAGTTTACAGGAGTAATTTGGAGTAATTTGTGGCATGTAAATCGTCAAAAATGGTTTATTTGCTGTTAGCTTACGACCTCCCCGATTGAGCTAGCAACTATTTTTTTCGCAATTTGGCATCACATTGGATATGGGCTGAATTTGTCCTGGATAGGAATTTTTTTTCATAATTTCCCTATGAGGAGTTTGCAAGAATGTGCTTAAAATGCATGAAAAACGCACATTGTTGAATATGGCCAACTTCCTGGGGGGCGGGGCTAATAAAAGTAAATATGAAATATGTCCGCAATCATAATAGCAATGTGTATACAGCGTTTCTGGCAAAACGGAAAAACTATATGCGAGTAGTTTGGAGTAATTTGGGACATGTAAATCGTCAAAAATGGTGTATTCGCTGTTAGCTTACGACCTCCACGATTGATTTATCAAAAATGTAATCCGCAATTCTTCATGAAATTGGCCAGGGGCTAAACCCGTCCTGCATTGGAATTTTTCCGATCATTCCCCTAGGAGGAGTTCGCAAGAATGTGCTTAAAATGGCTGAAAAACGGGCGCGGCTAATGGAAGGCAATTTGAAATATGTGTGCAATCATAATAGCAATATGTATACAGCGTTTCGTGAATATCGGAATAACTATATCCAAGTAATTTGCGACATGTAAATCGTCAAAAATGGTGTATTCGCTGTTAGCTTAAAAATGTTCTTCTCAATTTAGCATCATATTGGATAGGGGCTGAACGTGTCCTGGATTGGAATTTTTCCGATCATTCCCCTAGGAGGAGTTTGCAAGAATGTGCTTAAAATCCATGAAAACTGCACATTTTTCAAAATGGCGGACTACCTGGGGGGCGGGGCTAATGGAATCTATTTACAAATATGTCCGCAAAATTCGTGAAGTTCTGAGAAACTATATGTGACTACCACACAATAGGGGGCGCTGGTGAGCAGTTTTTTTGAAAAATTAGGTTGTTTTTTTACATTCTCGAAAAGGTCGTGGGCTCTGACGTGTCTCCCAAGTTTTGCGTCCGGAGCTCATTTTATGCTATCGCAATTTTAAAAAAATGTATAGGCCACGCCCACATTTTGAATTTGTTGTGACACTTTAAATCTGAGTTTGTAGTCACCCCGAGAGTATGTGTAAAAAAATAAATAAAAAATTAGTCCATCCGCTCTTGAGTTATAAATTGGTGGTGTTTTTTGCGCCCCCTATAGTCCAAAATGAAAATGCTTTGGTGTGCCTGTTCCCCAAGACAGACTGAACCTATCTACCAAAATCTGTGATGTTTGGATACATTGTTGATGAGTTATGAGCATTTCTTTCTAAGCCCCGCCTTTTTGCGAGTACGTTTTGATTGACGGCGGCAATATTTATCTTCCTAACATGCTCATTTTCTACGGTAATGTGTCTGACCCTCCATCGATACTGTATACGAAGTTTGGTGTTGAAAAACTGAAAATTGAAATTTAAGTGAATATTTAAATGTTTTGAACATTATGCTAATTTAAATTAAAAAAAATGTAGGCGGAGCTTAGGGTTCCAAGAGGATTATTAGTAGAGTAGGTCCACCCGGATATGTGTGCAAAATTTCAGGTCATTCTGAGTTACTGTGCGACTTTGTAAATGTATTCCGAAATGGGATTTTGATAGGTGGCGCTAGTGAGCAGGTTGGAATATTTAACCCATTGACTCCAGAATATTGAATTTTTCATCGGTCCTGGCGTCCGTGCAAAATTATACAACTTTTGAAGCATCCTAAAGACCTCAAAAAGAGGAAACGCCAGCACTATAATAATAATACCACCAACAACAATAGGTTCCTCGCACTTCGTGCTAGGACGCCGTCGGGTCCTAGCGCTCCGTGCTCGGGCCCTAAATAGCATTGATGGTCCCCAATGAACAGATTATGGCATTTGTTATGTTTTGAAACCAAGCAAGTGAGAACATTTCAAGTGAGTTAAAAGTGCAATCCTGAAATATTTCATATAGTCCAAAGTGGACTATGGCAAAGAAAAGCACAAAAGCTTCAAAGCTGTACTGATAAAACAAATAAGAACATATTGTAAATCAAGGCACATATTATTTAAACCAGCTCATGGTTTGAAATGGCAAACATTGAAAAGCAAAAGTATTATTAAAACCATACTACATCATCACCTTGGTCCCATCATATACTCTGGGAAGAGAATATTTACTGTGCTTGAAAACTGGTATCACATCATCATGTGAGGTTGACTTTGTGACCTGGAGAACATTTCAGCTGCAACATTAGCTTGTTGATAAGCTTGGGATATGAGATCTTTTTGTAGCCATTCGTGGTGAAGGCATCTGTGCTATTGTATGCATTATTGTTGACCCAACATTTCTACAGGCATGGCAGAATATGAATCTATTTTCACATGAATATACCCTTGTCTATTTGTATGCCACGAGCTGCAAAATGACCGCCTATAACCCCACTGTACAGGCGGGTAGGACTTGTTTAGATATACCTAAACTACATTTTAGCATTTAAAATACCTAGCCATTCTTTTAGGTTATTTTGGTGAAAGTAACTAAAAAGTAACTAAAAAGTAGTGTAACTCATTACATTTCAGAGACAGTAATATTGTAATGTAACTTATTACTTTCAAAAGAGAGTAATAAGTAATATGTAATATATTACATTTTGGAAGTAACTTGCCCAACACTGGTGGTGTAGGTGTGTGTGGTACAGTGTGTGCAGATGCAGCGGACAGACAGGTCTCAGTTGGTTTGGTGTCCTCTGCTTACTTTTAATACTTGTAAATAAAACTTTTGGCCCGTAATTTATTTTCCTCATTGTAGCGACCAGAGAGGGGGGGGGGGGAAGGTATATCCAGTCTCTGATAGTGTTACGTTATTATGAGAGTGCTCTGTTTGATTCTGAAATTGTATATATTTATATAAATATATACATATATGTGTGTGTATATGTCCGCATCTGTGGCCTGTTATTGTCTCATTATACCGCACTGTGAATGAATCAAAGTAAATATATAAGTCGTCATGAACACATCTGTCCATCAGACGTGGCTGCTGTGCCCATGGATGTATAATAAGAACTGGATACAGCGTGGGAGGTGGGGCCTCATTCATTCCTATGAGAGTTGCTCATTAGCGCATGATGACAAAATGGCCCAACTTTTGAGAGAGCGAAACGTCACAGATTACCCGGCATGCCTGAGAAGTAACGGTATGTGCACTCATAGCGCATGCGCAACTTTAACCACGCCGCCCAAAAGGCTCGTTCACATTAAGCACGTGAATTTGCGTACACGTAACAGCACCGCGCGTTCATGACAGCATGGTACTGGATTTATATTAACGAGGCGGCAGTTAGCAGCTAGCGGCTAGCTAGTAAATGATGCTAACTTACACATCAATCATTATGTACTTTTATATTACTTTGACATCAGGATCTAGTGATATCCAAGCAACAGAGCTTCATTTAGCATGATACTTGTGTGGGTTGTACATGAAACCACTTGGTAATATATAAAAATGTATGTTGAAGCCTGTTATGATCAATTGTGAGTTCAAACTTTATCTAAAAAGTAAAGCTGATGATGGATTACTGTGGTGGAGTTAAAATAACAATATCCTATTTCTTTTTTAAATGTGATGGAGTAAAAGGATAGTAACTGTGATTATTCATGTTAAGTAGCCCACAAATAACTAAAACGTATAATACTTGAAGGAAAGGTGTAAAATGTTCCCATAAATACCAATATCACAGTACAACACCCCTTGTTGTTAAATACCAACCATGTGTATATATATATATATATATAAATATATATATATAAATATGCCGCTAAAACTGTGTAATATACCAGGCTGCTAAATCATCCAAACTGTTGTTGCAGGATGTGTATTTTGTGAAATGTGTATTTTTTTTAAATTATAATTTCTTGTTTTGAATCTTTAATACTTTTATGCATACTTTAAGTAACATTAGGCTGTCCTTGGCTCTTTTCTGCTGTAACAATGTAAATGTATTCTGATCTAATTGATGTTTTTGTCAGTTTGTTTCCCTATATTGCGACACTTATTTGGTTTAAGATTATTTCTCCTTTTTATACAGACATCCCCAACCATAGTGGAATGCTGTTGTAAAGGATTGCATTGATCCGTGCATCAATACCTTCACCCAGCTTTGAGGCCTCCAATGAATGAACATCATCTTGTGGCTGGGAAAAATGTGAACAAATAAATCTCACAAAGAGTGACTTTCTGGTGTAATCATTATAATATCAAAGACAAGCACTTTAAGTAACAATATATAAAATCATTCAGCAGCAGAGGATGGGGTGGAAACAGCATTTCTAACTAAGATGATTACAATATTACAAGTTAAACATCAAGATGAACATACTATTATTAATTTAAAAAGTACATGGGAGACTTAAATACCCTGCAATATACCATTAGCAGAATTGGAACAAATGTGCCAAAACATTTCTAAAATAAACATAAACATAAACTGAGGGCTTTCTTCCTGAGCCGCTGGGAGTAAAGGTCCTCCATGGATGGCAGCTCCGCCCTGGTGATGTTCTGTGCAGTTTTCACTACCCTTTGGAAAGCCTTACGATTGAGGGCGGTGCAGCTGCCGTAACAGGCCGTGATGCAGCCGTGTCCGTGATGGACACTGAGGAACCTGCAGCTGCTGACTCTCTCTACCGTAGTCCCATTGATGGCGATGGGGGGCGTGTCCCTCTCTTTGCTGCTTCCTGCAATCCACAATCAGCTCCTTGGTTTTGCTGACGTTGAGATGGAGGTTGTTATCCTGGCACCAAGATGTCAGGTTTTCGACCTCCTCTCTGTACGCCGTCTCGTCGTCTGGGTGAGGCTGGTGAGGCTGGGGAAGATGAGTGAGGGAAAGAGAGAAACAAAACAGGGGGACTAAAATGAGTGAGGGAAAGAGAGAAAAAGACAAGGGGACTAAGATGAGTGAGGGAAAGAGAGAAAAAGACAAGGGGACTAAGATGAGTGAGGGAAAGAGAGAAAAAGACAAGGGGACTAAGATGAGTGAGGGAAAGAGAGAAAAAGACAAGGGGACTAAGATGAGTGAGGGAAAGAGAGAAAAGACAAGGGGACTAAAGTTTAAGAGAGAGGAAGAACACAGAATGTGAGTGAACAATTTAATTAAATTACACATTTAAAAAAAATAGTGTGAGTAAGTGAAGACATCCTTACAAGGAGGACTGCCCTGTCAAATTTAAAAGTTATTCTTGTTAAATATACATATCCTGTTGAGGCTAGAATCCAAAATGCAGAACCACTTTAGATTGTAGCCTCAAGGGACTGTTTAAGGTTACTTAAAACATATCATTTCCCAAATTGGTGAAATGAACTCCATCTCTTAGAAATATGCCAGGGCAGTCAAACTTAATGCAAGGATGCCTTACACTCTATCCAAACCACTAACACATTTACCCATCTCTCTGTTCACCCACATTCTGGCCTTGTTCAGCTTTCCCGGATTGGCTTTCCTCCAGTGACATCTCTCATTGATAGAAGATAGAATTATCTTCATCTCTGAGAAGTTGTCACTGCGGGAAAGCAGGTCCTGCTTCATCGCTGTGACAAGCTCCACACCTTTGATGTTGCCAAGGTCGTTGCCGCCACAGTGGATGATCAGGACATCCGGGACTGTTCTTCCCCTCAAGGACTAATAGAAAAAGGGAAGAAGGTTCCTCCACCTCAGACCACCCTTGCCAAACCACCACACACGGCAATTGAGACCCAGGTTGCTTCCCATGGTGTGTCTGGCTCTTTCTTCCCCACGTCTAACGTAGCTGCTCCCTATTATCCACACATTGGGACCTAGATAGAATAAAATATATTGAAAAAGGAAAAAGTGGTTACTGGTGATCATCTTTTAGAAAAAGGCGGTACATGTAGCCTGAGTTGTCATATCATTTTCATCATATTTTTAAGATTACACAAGTTTAATTTGTATATTATATTACATATAACTCTATACTTGTATATAGAATCATGATGAAACTTTATAAGGATTAAGATTATATATTAATATTACATTAAATAATGCATGACTATTTCATGCATTATTACGAAGCAGGATGTATCAAGTCACTGACTTTTTGTGATAAGGTCACAATCAACTGATTTCACTTATCAGATGTAAAAATAAGGTACAATATATTTGTTTTTGCCATATGAAAGTAAAGGGTATGCAATCAAAAAATTACTGAAACAAAATGAATACAAATTCTTATAAAAACTATACAGCACCTTGTCCAAGTATGGCGGGAGGCCCACTTTCCTTCAGGATTTCCTCTCTGGATGTCGATCCGGCTATTTCTGCCATCTATAAATAAAGTACAAATGATTAGCTCTTCACGCCTCTTTAAAATAATATGTGTTCTTGAAGATTCTGTATGCATCGTCGTTTACAATGGTAGGGACATTGCATTGGAAATTAGTTGTGAAAAAGATATGTCATTTTTAGTTTTTTCATCTCACATTTATAGATTTTTAAATAGAAATATATATATATAATACGAATTATAAATGCAAAGTCTGGTTTCTAGAAAGTTAGCTAATGCATACAGAGTTAACATTGCAGAACTGCTGGCATGCATACATTTCTAGCATTTTGGTTAACTATGAAAAGTATGGAAAATTACTGTGCAAACACCCAACATTAGCTTAGCCACAGTAGCGGTTGCTGATGAGTGGTTTGGCTTATTTTACTCTTTTATATGAGAACATGTTACATTACATACAGACATTAAGGAGGCAGGTTAGAAAATAAATATGTTTTCGTATCTTACCTTTTGGAGTAAACTGTTGTCGGTTGTTAGCATAGACTGTATATATAAAGCATTGTCTCTTTAGCCTCAGTGACGTGACAGTGAACACTGAACGGGACCGCGTGTGAAGGGGGAGGTGCTGAACATGTCACATCACATGAACGTGCCGGGCAGCGCGGTCCCGTGGGTTAGATGCGCGTTCATAATGCCGAGGGAAATAACTCTCAGAATAACGTTATTAGCACATTTTTACAACTTGAGGAACGAATGTTTTTAATAAGGGCTATACAAGTCTTCATACTGTGTTGTTTATTTAGTTAAAAAAATTATCCACTCTTTCCCCATGTAAGTCAATGGGAAAAAGTGTTTCCGGGCCCAGCAACCAAACGGAAGTGTAGTACCGCCGTTTGGCCACTACGAATATTCTCATCAGACTCCGGCGCATTTCCTGGGGGCTTGGGCTCTACCCATGGATGTATAATAAGAACTGGATACAGCGTGGGAGGCGGGGCCTCATTCATTCCTATGAGAGTTGCTCATTAGCGCATGATGACAAAATGGCCCAACTTTTGAGAGAGCGAAACGTCACAGATTACCCGGCATGCCTGAGAAGTACCCGTATGTGCACTCATAGAGCATGCGCAACTTTAACCACGCCGCCCAAAAGGCTCGTTCACATTAAGCACGTGAATTTGCGTACACGTAACAGCACCGCGCGTTCATGACAGCATGGTACTGGATTTATATTAACGAGGCGGCAGTTAGCAGCTAGCGGCTAGCTAGTAAATTATGCTAAGTTACACATCAATCGTTATGTATTTTTATATTACGCTGACATCAGGATCTAGTGATATCCAAGCAACAGAGCTTCATTTAGCATGATACTTGTGTGGGTTGTACATGAAACCACTTGGTAATATATACAAATGTATATGTTGAAGCCTGTTATGATCAATTGTGAGTTAAAACGTTATCTAAAAAGTAAAGCTGATGATGGATTACTGTGGTGGAGTTAAAATAACAATAGCCTATTTCTTTTTTAAATGTGATGGAGTAAAAGGATAGTAACTGTGATTATTCATGTTAAGTAGCCCACAAGTAACTAAAACAATTGCAAGTGCAATAAGAAGCTACAGGAACGTTAATCTACGTCGGTAATATTAACTTTATTTAATACAACATTTACGGTACAAGATTTACATCATACAGCCCATGTAGTATAATATTTTACAAATGATGAATTACAGCAAACATGTGCAATATATCCATTATTACAGCTCCGTGGGCTGGCAGTAAGGCGATATGGTCCGTTGTTATTGTGCATCCATGGGTAAAGAGAAACATGAACATGAACGTGCCGGGCGGCGCGGTCCTGTGGGTTAGATGCGCGTTCATAATAAAGAGGGAAATAACTCTCAGAATAACGTTATTAGCACATTTTTACAACTTGAGGACCGAATGTTTTTAATAAGGGCTATACAAACGTTCATACTGGGTAGTTTATTTAGTTTAAAAAAAATTATCCAACGAGTTACAGACCACTCTTTCCCAATGTAAGTCAATGGGAAAAAGTGTTTCCAGGCCCAGCAACCTAAAGGAAGTATAGTACCGCCGTTTGACCAGCACAAATATTCTCATCAGACTCCGACGCACTTCCTGGGGGCTTGGCTGTGCCTCAGTGGCGGTTCTAGAACATTTTACATGGGGTGGCAAAGGGGGGCAAGAGGTCATGCCAGGGTGGCATGGGAGGGCGGACAGTACGTGATATTTTACACTGTATATAACCTATTTATTGTTAATTCATGCCCTAACACAAGTGTTCTTAATGCACAAGATAAACAAGGTGTCCAATCGGGTGCCCGTTGAGTCCCCCAAGCTTACTTCAATAATTTTAAATGAAAGGAAACTACAAAATGTATTTTAAAGCAATTAATTAATGGAACAGGTTGTTTTGCATTACAAAAAATGTGTTGTCTTAGTATTAGACAGACATATTTGCATGTGCTCACTAAGCATTATTACATATTAATTTAATATTAAACAAATCAAAATGGCCAATTATTCCAAAAATGTTGCTGCTAATATAATCATATGCTTGTCAACTTTAACTGATCAAAAATAAATTCGGAAAAAATACTTGAATTATCTATGAAATTGCAATATTGTCCCTCAGTTTGTTTCAACCCCGTCACGCCATACCATTTACCCTCCTATTAAAATAATGGATCAGTCCATGTGTGATCTGCATTGAGGGAATTACATCACAAAAGTGTCAGTTTCTTCTCTTACCTATATTTCAGTTTTTGTATTTTCATATTAAGATTGACAAGCTCAACATTTCAACTCTGTTGTATGAATTAATAATAGTAAATAATTGTTTATTACAATATAAACAATAGTTTTGCAAAATATTACAATTTTGTAATGTCCTTGACTTCCATGTGGTGCCATATCTTAGCTAAACAAGGTATCATGGCTACTTTTTGTCAAAAACTTCAACCCTGTTAAATGTTTTCAAGTAAATTCCTAGTAATTATTTATATTTTGTGCCTGGGGTGGGAACATGTAAGTAGTCCACTACCAGATGTTATGACCAAACATTTTGGTTTCATTTTTCAAAGAGATTCAGAGAATACTCTAATTCTGCATACTGTAAGTACTTAATTATAATTAAGTACACAAATGACATCACCCATCTATTTAGAGAGCTACAGGTGACCTGTGCAGCAACACATTTCAATCAATAATTGTCAATACTAAGAGCTGCTAGATTGTGCTGCTGTAATGGAACATGTAAGGAGAATAAGAACATTTGGACAGTTGGAGTTTCAACTGTCTCCTGATCCCTGCCTCTGGCCCTCTTTCTGATACTTCATCTTTATTCCTCACATATATTTCTTCTTCTTCACTAATGTCTTCATCTCCTCCTCTTCCTCTTGCTCTGACCCTCCTGGTCTCTTCATCTCCTCCTCTTCCTCCTGCTTTGACCCTCCTGGTCTCTTCAGTGAACTCTCTTTTCCTTTTCCTCTTTCTGTTCATCCTGATCTCTTCTCAGATATGTCTTTTTGTTGTTGTTGAATCACTCCTATACTCTGGCCTGCAAGAGTCTACTTGTGAAAAGCACTGGTACAAATGCTTGTATAACTTTACACGTTAGGGCCATGTAGCCTAGCTAATAAGTAGCATATCAAGTATTTATCAAACGCACACAGGCAGCTGTGTTTAGATCCAGTTTTTACGGTAAAGGATGTATCCTGGTTTCATTGATCTGGCCTCATTGCTGTGATGTGTAGTTTACGTGGATTTAATAGTAGGCTACCGCATAGTTTAGCAAAGTGATCGATCTCCCAGCTAACGCTGTCTGCGTAGTATTTTGTGACGTAGCGCCCCAAACAGCGCCCGTCTGTTAAACGCTATCGATTCAAACGGCAGCGTTTTATTAATATTTAGTTTCAAGCTCTCGTCCTTAGTAAAAACAAAACTAGTGGAAGGGGAAATGCTCCCAGGGGAAGCTGATCCATAGGTGCTGGGACAGCTCGCTCCCTCTCTGCAGCTCTGTGAGCCGCGGTCTGTGTGAACACCGCTCCGCAGTTTAATGCAGGGCCGTAGCTGCGTTTTTAACGGGCCTAAAATGATATTTAAAATGATTCACCTTTAACTAATGTAATGCTTGTTTCGTTGCTTGAGAAGCTTGTGGAAATAGTGTAGGTTTGTTTTAGTACAGTTTTAGGGAAACAAAAGTTAGGGGGGCAGCTGGGGGGCAAGGCTCTACAGTGGGGGGGGGCAGCTTCCCCCCCTTGCCCCCCTAATATCCGCCCCTGCTGTGCCTCCTGTCATCATTAATGGACGTCTCTTTAAAATGACCGCTCAGAGGAGAGAAGTTCTCATTTCTCTAACCGCCTGCTGCTTCCCCTCCTCGCCTCCTCCACTCGTATCTCCTGTGGGCGGGACTAAGTATCGAGGATAGGAGTCGAGGAGGGGAGTCGAGGAGGGGAGTTAGAGAAATGAGAAAGGGCCTCTGTCTTTAGTTGTAAGCACAGTGGCGATCTGTTGTTATTAGCATCTGGTTAGCTAGCTATGCTAACGAATTTAAAGAGCTTTTCTACAACCAGGTGGAAGAGAGCTCTCTCCTGAGAGGCTCAAATAACCTCAGCTCAGTGAGGTTAAGGCACACCTTGATATGATCAATATAGTTATTAATGAGACTAAATGAAAAACAGGTATAAAATACTATATGACAGTAACAAAAAAGTTGTTAAAAATAACAAGAATAGAGTTTAAAAGGGGAGTGATTTGTAAAATATCCAAAAAGAAAAATCTGCTTACAGTTCTGTTTCATATGGGTGATGAGAGATGTATCCATAGATCTCTTAATGTTGCTCTCAAAGTGTACCAGATTGATGCTTATAACTTCAATATTTAAAAAACAAATCTTCCCGGGGGAGCATGCCCCCGGACCCCCCAGAGGAGGTTAGGTCCCCCCCCCCCCACTTAAATCATGTTCACATGGATAGGATACTAAATACATTTGCACACATCTTGTGTCCATATCTTTCTGTTTTGGTGGTCGAGTCATGGTGAGATATCTGGATTAAGAGGTTGCTTTTTCTTTGCACAGCATGAAAGAAAGGCCAAATGAATGGGCTGTGATTTTAGTTTTTTTAAGCAGAGGTTGAGTTCAAT